TGTTTATTTGTTTGTTTTGTTTTTTGAGACAGGGTTCCTCTATATTGTTTTGGAGGCTGTCCTGGAACTAGCTCTTGTAGATCAGGCTGGCCTTGAACTCACAGAGATCTGCCTGCCTCTGCCTCCCAAGTGCTGGGATTAAAGGCGTGCGCCATCAACGCCCGGCAAGAGAAGACCTTCTTACACAATAATAAATGAGGACCGAAGAGATGGCCCAGTGGGAAGAGTTGCTTACCAATGAGTCTGATACCTAAACTGGATCTCTAGTGGATCCAATGGAAGGAGAGATCTCTGACCCACACACACGTATACACACTAAATAAGTATAGTTTTAAAGTTACAAATGATAAAGGAAAACATTGAACTGCATTCACTATACTTTCTTATATTGGTTCTGGGGATCAAACCCAGGGATTCAAAGCACCCAGAATGTATTCTATCATGAGCTACAGCCCCAGTCCCAACTGTGTTCATTTTAAAACTACTTTATAAAAAGTAGCCACACATAAAGAGACAAGTGACACCTGGGAAAAATATATTGGTGGGGGTGGGGGACAAAATACAGCTCCCAGGTCAATCCTGCCAGCTGCCTGTTCTTGCTAAAAAAGTTTTGCTGGAACACAACCACATCCTTTACGATCATGAATTATTTATAGCTCATTATGTACCATGATAAAAATTACATAATTTTCAGAGTCTATATAGCCCACAAAGACTAAAATATTTACTATTAGGACCTCTATACAAAGTTTGCAGACCCTGACCAAAAGCATATACAAAAAAACTACAAATCACAGGGGAAGGGGGCCTAATGAAAAATTGAGCAAGCAATGCAAGGCAAATAAACAATCCACAGGAAAAATAAAAATAACTCAGTAAATATTACAAAAAAAAAAAGAGCCATTATGGTGTCATAGACCTGTATTTATTCCTGGTATTTTGGAGGTGGAGACAGGAGATCACAGAAGGTATACCACAGCTCCAAAGCAAGTCAAACCTGTACTCACACGGACATATCCACACATAGACACACATACATACATGCAATTAGAAATAAATCTTTAAAAGGGGGGTTAACTTAAATAGCAACAGGGAACTCATTCAAGAATTAAATCATTTGGTAATATCCATTTCTAAAAATGTTATGACATTGTTTTGGAAATTTAGTGAACTTGATGTTAACCCAACTATTCTATTTTTAGGTATCTGCCCCAGAGAAATATTTGCATTCCTGCACGCACACACCCAACCAAAAACACTATAAAGCTGTTAGCTAAACAGACACAATTGGGCTGGAGAGGTGGCTCAATGGTTAAGAGCATTCATTGTTCTTCCAGAGGTCCAGAGTTCAGTTCCCAGCACCCACATCAGGCAGCTGATAACTGTCTGTAACACCGGCTCCAGAGGACTCAACACCTTTGGCTTTCATGGCCACATTCACATGTATTGGCAAATTAGTGTGTTGTATGCATGCATAAATGTATACATGAAATGGGGGGGATATATACATTTCACAGCACACATGAAAGTCAAAGAACAACTCTGTGGACTTGATTTCTCCTTGTACCTCTATGCGGGTTCAGGAGAAAGAACTCAGGTTATCAGGTGAACTTGCACAGCAAGCACTCTTACCTGCTGAGCCATCTTGCCAACCCTACACTCAATATTTATAACAGCAAAACTCTTCAGTAGCCTTGATTGTAGATCATTGAGGGAATGGGTTAAATTATAGTACATCCCAAATGGGCCTATATAGAAAACATTTTTATGTTTCTAAACATTGTCAAGCAGAAAGAAGTACACTATAAAGCAAATAAAAACACAAAGCTCAGTCTTAAAAACAATGAATGAGGTGGCTCAACAAGTAGACACTTGTTGCCAAGCCTAACGACCTGAGTCTGTCCCCCAGAACCATGATAAAGGAGAACTGACTCACTGGAGATGCACTGGTGCAAGTGGATGCCCACGTCACACAATAAATGCAAAACTTTTAAAGGTTTAAATGATACTACAGTCCACTTATATGCAGAGCAATGCACAAAGGGATTGAAGAAAAATGTTACCCTGGGAATAGGAGCTGAGCAAGCACAGCATCATCTGGGTGACAAACAACTCAAGACTGTCGTTAACTTATCACAGATCAGTCTGAATTCCAGGGCAGGGAAAGCAGGACTCCTTGGCCCCGAACAACACTGTTAAGGCACTTTCTGAAATTCAGCTGTCCTGATGTGTTCATGAGGTGGCTGCTGTAGCCTTAAGAGAGGGAGACCGAGAAGGCACTTAGGAATCCATGCTATGTCCCTGTAAATCTTTCCTTTCTGAGTTTTTCAGGCTTTTCTACAGTTAAAGGAAGTGGCTAGTTTAACTGACCTCCAAATGCTTCCCAGGTCTGATACCACAACATAATCAGGCCTGGAAGAAGTTCCCTACCTCTCTAGGGGAAAACAAATAAACAAAACCAACAGCTGAGGAAATAAAGCTTAAATCAGAAGGCTCAAAGGAATGTGTGCTCCTGGGAAGATGACATCCTTGAGAGCAGAAGAAGCTGTTCCCGCCTCCCTAGACTCACATCCTCAACTATTACAGAGGGGGTGGCTTTGATGATGGCTGATGTATCTTCCAGCTTGGACAGTCTAAAATAAGCTCTGGATGGGAGGGGCAGCAGGAAGCAGGGGATTGGGGGAGGCTGACAGGAACCAATTGGCTGAGGTTTTCCAATGGAGCCATAAGGAGAGCAAACGGCTCTGGGAGAAGCGGATACAGAGAGCAGCGACAAACGCTGTTGGCAAGAGCCTCCAGCCTCCCTGCACTGCTTTCAAAAGCAGTTTCTTCCTGAAAGGTCCCAGGAGGTACAAGGCTGGGCTAATCTCTCCCCACACAAATAACCCCACTCATTATTTTAGGTACTATTCGAACTGTGCCCTAGAGGTCCCAGGCCCGTTTCAAAACTTACAATTCCACTTTGAAAACAGCCAAAGAGTTCAACACTCAATTTGTCTCAGCCCTTGAGTTTAATTAATAATAAACAGATTTTTTATTTTAATATTTTAGACTCAAATATTTAAATTCCACTCATTCATCTAAACTTAAGAATCAGAGAGCTGGGTGGTGGTAGTGGTGGTGGTGGTGGTGGGTGGTGGTGGTAGTGGTGGTGGTGGTGGTGGTGGTAGTGGTGGCACACGCCTTTAATCCCAGCACTTGGGAGACAGAAGCAGGCGGATCTCTGTGAGTTCAAGACCAGCCTGGGCTACGAGAGCTAGTTCCAGGACAGCCTCCAAAGCTACAGAGAAACCCTGTCTTGCCACCCCCAAAAGAATCAGAAAAAGTTCCTGTGTAGCATAAATATCTAATTACCAGTTTGCATGATTGCTTCAAACCTCTCTCAAAACAGCTTTTGCCAAGTCCAGAAACTTCTGAAATCAAAGTTGACTGTTCTATGGGTGGTTTTTCAGTTTGTTAAATTATAAAAGGAAAAGCACAATAAACCATATTTCTTGCTTTTCATAATAGCACTGTGGGAGAAGTAAGCCAGTAACCACTATTACCAGTTTACAGATAAGGAAATTAAAACACACAAAGGTAAAGAGACTCGTTCAAGGTCAGACCTCAGAAAGTCACAGCCAAGACTAAAAGCAGTCACCTCATAAATCCCATAACTGCTTCCCAGAACAGAGTTCAAATGAGAAGAGGAAATCAACCATTTCTCTTCAGGAGTTCTGCCCTTCCCAAGTAGACAGGTCTCTAAGGCCCTGGGTGTCCTCACAGATCACTGACTGAGACCTGGAGACTCTGGTTAAGCTTCCTGATTACTTCCTGGCTATTGGAAATCTGACCTCATAGAAAGATGCCACAACCTCTGCCCTACCACCCCATTCAGGTTTGCCCCATAAAACAAGTCAAACCTTGCTTGCCAGTAAAGGCACTGAAAACAGCCAAACCAGGGCACGTAAAAGCAATGTTTTCAGTCTAAACAGCTCTTTCCAAAAAGGAGTGGCTACGACTAGGTGGCACTGGGCTGGAATGCATGGGGAACTCCACTGGCATTCAGCAAGCAGGGGGCAAGCAGGTGCGGAGAGTTAACTAAAGAGGGGCAGAGGGAACGGTAAGCAGGATGCACAGGTCCCTCCCGAAGTGGTGTAAACATGGCTAGGAATCTTCAACACCAGAAGCCTAAGAGCAACCAGTTCCCAAGGGCCAAGAGGGTGTATGGCCCAAATTGGGGACCCTGTACCAACACAAATTCCCCATCTCCTACATCTCTGGGGGTGGAGGCTTAGAACTGTGTTTTCCATGTCGGTGACTTTGACACGGGTTAGGAAGGGCTACTAACCTGATCCAAAATCCCGACCAACATATAAGGACAGAAAGAGAAGGGAATCAACTTTCCCCAGAATGCACAAGTCTTCTTGGAGCCACAGGGCAGAAACAGAAAGGGCAGCCCCTACCCCTCAACAAAAGCCATCCCTACCTTCAGTCCAAGAACAAGACCCACCCATCCCCTCTTGGAGACACCCCACCTCTCTCCGAGCCCTGATGGTGACAGTGACTTAGAAGGAGGGCAGGCTCTGTTCCACAAGATGGAAGCTGGTGGCCCACGCAGACAAGCCAATTCCTGGGATAGTCTGGTGGCCACGTCTGAGTCCAGCCCCAAGACAAGAGTCTGGGGGTGGGTAGGAGAGTCCTGACAAGCGGCAAGCAAGCTCCACTTTGTTCCTATGCAGGGCAACCAGACATTTTTTTCTGAGTCACCCAAAAAGCATGAATCACACAGCAGAGCTATGGGAACGGGAAAGGATGTTATTTTTCGGCATACTTGAGGATTTTCCCTTTGTCCCGGCTCTATCGATACTATTCCCGCCCCCATTCCAGCCCCATCCCCCAACTCTCACGCATTTTTTTTTTCCTGCTCCATTTTTATTTTCTCTTGGCCTTCGCAAGCTCCGCGCTCCTCGCCCGACCCGCAGGCAGGACTCCCAGCTCCGCACCCCGCGGTAGCTCACCTGCGTCAGGTCCTCATCGTTGAGCAGATGCGACTCGCGGGGCTTGAAGCAGTTCTGACACTTGCTCTTGTTGAAGATGTTGGCCTGAAATTTCCTGCACGGGTTTTCCTTGGCCGCAGACATGTCGCCTAGGCGGCCGCGGCGCGGACCACTTCGTCCCAGCGCGCTCCCGGAGGTCGGGACTCAGCGCGGCCACCGCCGCATTTTGCGCTGGCCGCCGCAGGCCCGGAAAGGCCTCCCCGCTCACGCCGAGCCCCGCCTGCTCGCCGCGGCCTCAGAGCGCGCGCGCCGCCTCGCGCCCCGCCCCGCCGCCCGGCCGCTGCGGGCCCATGGACGGACGCGGCCTCGGGCCGCTGCCTCCACCGCGGCCGCCTCCAAGGCGCCGGCCGGCAAGTCCAGCCGTCGCGCTCACCGGGCGCCCGCCGCCACCGCGAACGAACCGAGCGCGGCGCCGCGCGCACTCGGGGCGGGGCGGGGAGGGGCACCGCAACCGGCAGCCCCGCGGGCCAATGGCGTCCGCACGCTTCTGCTAACAAAGAAACCCGTCAGCCAATGGATGGCGGGGGCGGGACCGGGACCAGCGGGCGCAAGGTAACTTGTCCAGGCTGGGAAGGTGGAGGCTCCGGGATGGAACTTTCAGGTTTGGTGGACTGGCGCCGACGCCCGCGGCCTGACAGCTGCGGCGCTGGGCTGGGCTGCTCCCGGAAGGGCACCGCGGATCTCCGTGGTCTCTCCGAGGGCCCCTGCCTCCCTCGTAGCCTCTTTGCAGCGGCCTTCGGCCGCGCCCAGCCTGCACCCCTACTTTGTGCCAGGTCTACCGTCGACCCAGATAGCACTATTAGGGATAAGAACTGTTTCAAGTGCTCCCCATGTTTTAGCTCATTAAAGTTCTTCAACGTTTTCGTGATCATTCCTGTTTTACGTGAGGAAACGGAGGTGCGCGGAACAGTTAAGTAATGATGCATAGTGTTTCCGAGGTGATTAGATGTCAGCAACCTTAAGGAGCTGTCAGTTCTATTATGGGAGATGAGTGAGCCCAATTCTGCTAGATACGGAGTTAGGTACCTTCATTGCAAAGGTTCAGACGCTGAGAATAGCTTATGCAAGGTCACTTTGCCAGGAAGGGGCCTAAACTATTAATTATTCCAGGCCACTGTTGCCCAGACTTCCAGGCAAAAGGCCACTTGGATCGTAAAGAACAGAGGAGTGCAGAATGGACAGAGGGGAGTAGGGCGGAGGGAGACCTCTGCTCCTTAAGAGACAGTGAGTGCTTCCAGCAGCAGTGAAATGGATCTAAGTAGGCAGAGAGCATTCGGAAATGTCCCCAAGATATGCAGGTACTGGTGGCGGAGGAGGAACAAGAAAGGAGAATGTGGTCCCAGGACTCCCGAGGCAGATCTAGGAGGATGGAGAGTTTGAGGTCAACCTAGACCATAGTGAGACATTTCTAAAGAGGAGTAGGGAGGGATCACTTAGGCTTAGCCAGCTGGCAGTTAGGAAGCAGCCTGAGTTTTTAGCAGAGGCTGAGCTAATTCATTTTTCACGGTGAAGGTGATATTGGAGCAGGTGGTAGCAGCATTTAGAGCAGCTGGGTGAGCTCAGGTCATGTGGAGGCTTTAGGAAAGAGATGCCTTCAGAGCTGCGTACTTTTCCAGTGATCATCTGGTGACTACCCAGGGGAGGTGTATTTCCATTTTGAGAAAAAAAAAAAAGCTTTCCTGCACAAAGAGTCAGGAATGAAGGAACCCAGATCAAAGTCTTCTACACCCTGAGGGGAAAGCCCAGCTCTGATCCAGCTGTGGGCAAGTCCTTTACCCTGGCTGGTGCTCATTGACCACATGTACAAAATTGACATGAATATATGGAGTTGCAAGCATTAAGTGATAATAATGCTTGCAAAATAGCTCACATAATATGGCCAAACATTAATTGGTGAATTTTGGCAAAGGGTGTTTACTGCACTATTCTTGCAACCTTCTTGTTGGTTTAAATTTTTCCAGAAATAAAGGGTAATGAGTAAAGGGAGACTGACAGCTCTTGTCTGCACAGAACACTCAGAAAGTGACACCACTGGTGGCCTCTGGGGAGAAGAACTGGGTTATTGGGAAGTGACCTACTTTTAATTTTCATTATAAAACCTTTTTGCTCCTTTTGGGTTTTGTTTAATGTACATATACAACTTGTTTAACAAGAAAGACTTAGGCCAGCGAGACAACACAGTGTGTAAAGACTTTTGGTGCCAAGCCTGATGGATTGAACCTGAAACCACACGGAAGAACAAACTCCTCAAGTTGTCCTCTGACCTCCATATGAACAGCACAGTGTATGTATACACCCATATGTATGCACATACATAAAATAAATTTTAAATGTAATTAAAATTTTCCAAAATTATTTTAAAGTTCTATCCATTATCTTGGGGCCAAACAAGGCTACCCTATTAAGAAAATGCTGAACCAGGTGGTGGTGGTGCACTCCTTTAATCCCAGCACTCAGAAGGCAGAGACTGGTGGATCTTTGTGAATTTGAGGCCAGCTTGGGCTGCAGAGCAAGTTCCAGAACAGCCAGGACTACACAGAGAAACCCTGTCTTGAAAAACAAAACAAAGAAGGAAGGAAAAGGAAGGAAGGAAGGAAGGAAGGAAGGAAGGAAGGAAGGAAGGAAGGAAGGAAGGAAAAGAGAATGCTAACAGTATTCTGTTCAGGCCTGCCATGCACCACTGACGTCACAGCTGTGAATATGAAGAAGAGTGATTCAGGGATCCTCAGGTTGGTAGCCTGACAAGAGCTGGACCTCAAGCAAATGGAGACTCGTGGAAATAAGAGGGAAACAGACACCTTCCACTGGGAAGTTGTGGACCTCTGCCTGGGAAACCCCTAACTCCATAGGTAGCCTCTGGGTAGGGGCTCCTGGAAAAGGCAGTATCTTTAACAGTAAGACTCAACCTAGAGAAGGAAAAGGAAAGAAATTCCAGACCACCACAGCAGAGCAGTGGGCTCAAGACCTCCAGACCCACCTGTGTAAACAAACAGAAGCCTGGCTGTCACTAGGGTGTTACAGAGATTCAAACTGCCCTGGAGGAGCACTGGGAACAAGAGTGGTGCAAGGTTGGCCTCCCTCAGAAGGCAGGTGTGTGGCTAGGGGAGGGTAAGGCAGGTGTGTGGCTGGGGGAGGGTAAGGCAGGTGTGTGGCTGGGGGAGGATAAGGCAGGTGTGTGGCTAGGGGAGGGTAAGGCAGGTGTGTGGCTGGGGGAGGGTAAGGCAGGTGTGTGGCTGGGGGAGGATAAGGCAGGTGTGTGGCTGGGGGTGGGTACGATTTTCTTGTGACGATATGGACGAAGAGGCCCACTGGTCTCAGGGCAACTAAGACTTTGCCTATGGTGACAAGAAAGTACTTTGTAAGTGAGAGTTCAGAACTTCAGGCCGGCACCACAGTCATCTGGACAGTGGAGAGTATGAAACTGGGTAGTACACAGGGCCTTAAACATGCTATGTAAGTGTCCCACCACTGAACCACGTCCCGATGCGATTGTGGATCTTTTGACTAGGCACTTACGTAGGGACCTTTGGTCTGGGAAATGAATGCCAAGTAGAAGTTTAGAAATGGGATCCGTCAGGAAATGACTATGAAAGACCAGAGAGTACAGAAGATGGGGCCAGAACTAGAACAGAACCAGTCAGACATGCAAGGAATGAAATTGAATATTTGTAAGTGGAGGTTCCTCTTCCTCTTGCCAGTTCCCAAATAACTACTCTGAGGCTTAATATTAATTACACTGCTTGCCCTATTAACTCAGGCTTATCATTAACTAGCTCTTACAACTTAATTTAACCCATTTCTATTACTCTTTATTTTACCATGATGCTCGTGACTAGTTACCTCACATTTTGCTTCTCTGGCAGCTGCTGGTGTCTCCCTGACTCTGCCTTCTTTCTCCCTCTCTCTATCTCTACTTGGATTTCCTTCCTAGTTATATTCTGCCCTGCCATAGGCCAAAGCAGCTTCTCTATTAGCCAACGCCTAATAAGAACTATTCACAGCATACAGAAAGGCATCCCACTTCAAACACTGAAGTGGATTAAAATTCCACTGGCCTCAGCATCTCTAGGGCAGAGCTGGGGCAAAGTTACTACTGCATTTCCCCACCTAATTTAGTACCTAGCAGAGACTGGGTACCCAGCCAACTCCTAGCTACAACTGAATAGGTGAGAATATATTATTTCATCATGCTGAACTATTTCCCCTATCTTATTATAAAACCCACCCAGCCAGATTTGAGTCTCATAGCTTGGGTTCCCTTTTCAAAGTCCTAGGATACAAACATTCATTAGACCATATAGTTGGGATTGATTGATTGATTGATTGATTGAGGATGTAACTCAATGGCAGAGCACTTACATAGCATGCATAGTATTACAGATAAGTATTGTGGTACACTTGGGGGACTGAAACAGGGTTGCTGTGAGTTTAAGGTCAGCCTGGGCTTCAAAGAGTATACCATGCTGTCCAGGGCTATAAAACAAGACTCTCTCTCTCAAAGTAAGGTGATTCGGGCCAGTTGTAGTAGGGCACACTTTTTTTAAAATAATATTTTTATTTTAAGCACATTGGTGTTTTGCCTGCATGTATGTTTGTGTGAGGGTGTCAGATCCCTAAAACTGGAGTTACAGACAGTTGTGAGTTGCCATGTGGGTGCTGGGAATTGAACCCCAGTCCTCTGAAGAAAAGTCAGTGCTCTTAACCCCAGAGCCCTCTCTCCAGCCTCAGTAGCATTCACTTTTAATCCCAGTGCTGGTGAGGCAGAGGCAGGCTAATCTCTGTGAGCTCAAGACTAGCCTGTTCTCCATGGTGAGTTCCAGGACATCCAGTCTCAAGAACCAAAACACACAAAAAAGACAATTCACTATTTTGCTTTCAGTGTAACATATAACATATACCCCTAACAAGCAAGCAGGTGGGTAACCAAGAAAAGTCCTCTCCAGTGGGACCCAAAGGTGGTTGAGTCTTGCCATGTGGTTCTGACTATCACTCTTGAAAGCCTCTAGGGTAGTAGCAGAATTTACACAAATTCACCCATGCTCACATAGAGGTAACCACTATTTTGTTCTCCACCATCTTACCTGACCTAGACCTTGGTATGAGTGAGTCTGCTCAGTGTACCTGGCTTTTCTCACTTAACATTATATCCATGAAATTCATATGTCCACACGAAACTGGATATCTTATAATCAAATGCCCAACAAGAAGCAACTTAAGAGAGGAATTT